TATATATATAAGTTATATCATTCTAAAGTAGTTACATATTATAATATTTGGAACAACTAATAAGAAAATAATAGGTAGCGCTTTTTATACCCAGAGGAATTAAAATAGCACAAAAAGTCCCCCTAGACAGGTAGCCATCCTTATCAGAAGAATGAGTCAAATTAGAAGGGAAAGGGAGCAGACACGTGAGGGCGAAGACAAGTGCACGTCCGTTGGTAGAAAGAAGGGAGAACCAACTTCCAAGTGTGTGTGAGGGTATGGGGGGAATGACTAACAATACTTTTAAGAACCCTAAGGAGGGAGTAACCCTGGTAATATGCACCTAATAAGCCACACTGGCCTTCTATACACCCCCTGGGGACACTGAGGCATTGACTCTTGGCACACCAGAGGGATCCAATCTGGAAACTCCACTGCATGAACTGGACTCTGTCTCAAACACACCTGTCACCTGAGGACTTAAGACTGAAAATTCATGGTGTTTGAAGAAGCAGAAGGCAGTTATAACAAGAGTATTAACGGTCGATAGGTGGACAAACATTGACTTAGTACACCACTGCCCTATCTACTGTATTAAGATATGTATATTATTTTTATAAGATATATATTATTTCAGAAGTCATATGATTGACATTGTCAAGGAATATTATTGTAAATTTTGCCTGACACCCACTCCTATTGTTTGTGCAAAGAGCATAAGAATTTATTCTGTACAGGTGAATACTTGGGGTCTTCAAGGTTTGTTTCCAAACAAGCAGCCATCTAAGTGAGATGTCATCTAAGTCCAAATGGAAGAGGCACACCAACATCTGTGACTCAAGGATTGTGAATCATATAATCCAAAGCCGAAGGCGGGAATAGTATCAGAGCCCATATTGTGAGATTCTAGTTTGCAGAAGGCTATGGATGACAGTGGATACTCAGGATACATTTGTGAGATCTACATAGGAAATAAGCCTCTGGTGATTTCCCTCTATCCATACTGGAGGTATGAGATATTGATTACCACACAAAGAGTATTGAAGAGATGACTGTTGGAGATCAAAATTACAAATCTTATTTGAATGGTTAAAACCTTGTCACTTGATCCCCCATCTGATACACGATGAGCCTAATCTGTTTTGTTTTGTTTTACAATTTGGGGTTAATTCTGATGTACTTTGTCATTGTGGATAGCCTTCTTGAATTTTTGTTATGTTTTTCAGTCTATGAAACCCAAGATCGATGAACCTATGGAGACAACAAATAGAGTAAGGGTTCCTGGGGGTATAGTGTTGGGAAAGGGGTATCAAGGAATTCAAGAAGAAAGAAAATGTTTTGAAACTGATTGTAGTAGCAATTGTACAATCCTGATTGATTGTATGGAATGATATGATATTTGTATTATCTACCAATAAAATGGCTTTGAAAAAAGTTACATTATTTTTAAAATAGCACACAAAAATATATTATAACTTATACAAGGCAGTAAATGAGAAAAAGAGGAATTAAAATAATGATATAAATAGAAAACAAATAGTAAAATGACAATTTTACCCAACTATATCAATAATTACATAGAATGTGAATGAGTTAAGCTCCTTCTGCAAAAGGCTCTTATTGTCACATTGCATCAAACAGTTAGATCAACAATATGCTCCTTCTAATAAGAGTACCTTAGATTCAAAGTCATACTAAGAAAACAATAATAGTAAGAAAGTTGGAGTGGCTCTATACCAAAATATAAACCCTAAGATAAAAAGTGTTGCTAGATATGAAAAGAGACATTTCATTTAACACAAAGGTCAGTAAATAAATAAATATACATAATTATAAATGAACACACCCTTTTTAGTAGAAGAGCCTAAATTGAAAGCAAAAATTGAAAAGAGAAACTGACAAGTATAATAACTGAGGATTTCAGTACCTCATTCTCAATAAAAAAAAAAATAAGACAGAAAACTCAGCAAGGATATATGACTATGAATAATGCTATTAGCCCACTTGGCTTCATTGGCATTTATAGCACATCCTACCTAATTTCAGCAGAACGTACATTCTTTACAAGCATCCATATAACATTATCCAGGATAGATCTATGCTAGACCACACTCTCGCTGCCATCAAGTCAATTCTTACTCAAAAGAACCCTATAAGACAGGATAGAACTGTCCCTGTGAGCTTCCAAGACTGCATACTCTATAGGGAAGTAGAAACTCTCCTCTTGCCCTTGCGGAGCAGCAGTTTCAAACTGCCCAGTGGGTAATCCACTATGCTGCCATGGCTCCAACCATGCTATCGCATAGCAAGTCTTAATATATTTTGAAAGATTGAACTTATACAAAATGTTTTTTTATCTTAATCTTGTTTTTAATTAAAAGATTATTTTGTTGGGGAGGCTCTTACAGCTCTTGTAACAATCCGTACATCAATTGTATCAAGCATATTTGTACATATGTTCCCATCATTATTTTCTAGACATTTACTTTCTATTGAGCCCTTGTTTCTTGATAGCAATAGAATTAAATTATATATATACATCACCAAAAAATCCGGAGAAACTCCAAATAATTTTAAATTAAATAATACACTTTTAAATATTTCATAGACCAAAGAATAAATTGCAAGGGAACATTTAAGTCTTTTTAAAAGCATGAAAGAAAAACAGAGCTTTATAAGATGCAGCAAAAGCAATGTTCAGGGGGGCATATATAGCTTTAAATCACCCCTCAGAAAAGAGGGACCCCTGGTGGTGTAGTGGTTACACATCGGGCTGCAAACTGCAAACGCTGGTTGTTTGAAACCACCAGCACCTCTGCAGGAGAAAGAGTGGGCTTTCTCTCCAGTAAACAGGCACAGTCTTGTCAACCTACAAGGGGCATTTCTACCCTATCCTACAGCATCACTGAGTCGATATTGGCTCAATGCAAGTGAAGGGTTTTTGTTTCTTTGTTTGTGTATGTCAGAAAAGAAGATCTGAAATCAATCACCTAAGCTTCCACTTAAACAAACTAGAAGAGAGATATCATTTCCACGGACTGGAAACCTCAATATTACTGAGATTTCAGTTCTCCCAAAATGGATCTAAAGATTCAATAGCGTTCTGATGAAATCCTATTGGCTTTTATGTAGTGATTGACAAGTTGACCCTAAGGTCTCTTAGAGCCACTGCAAGGGTCCTGCAGGAAGAAATGCAATTTTGAAAAAAAAAAAAAAGAAAGAAAGAAAAAATTAATGTGAGAAAATTTGTACTAATTTCAAAGCTTACTATAAAAGTATATGAAGACACATACCTACACAAAGACTTTTATATGAATGTTCATTGCCTATTAGTCATAATGACCTCATACTTAAAACAACAAATAGATAGAAGACCAAATTGTAGTCTGTCCATACAATGGAATAGTGTTCAGCTGTAAATGGAGTATTAATGTATGAAATGTGCATCAATGAACCTCAAAAATATTATACTAAGACTGCATATTATATGATTCAATTTATATAAGCTGTTTAGAAAAGGCCATTTATATGTTGCTTAGAAAAGGCAAATTCATACCGACAGAAGCAAATTAGTGGTTACCTGAAACTGGAGATGGGATCAGGGATTGTCTACAATACAGGCTACAGGGAGTTTTTGGAGGCGATTAGCAATATTCTTAGAGTGGATTGTGAGGATAGTTATACAGACTGGATTAACTAAAAATAATCATACACTTAAAATGCATGAATTTACGACATGTAAATTATACCTGATTAAGCTATAAAATATGAAATAAAATAAAGTCCATGTAAAACATAAATTAAGAATCAAATAGAACAACCATGAAGAAAATTGGCAGAATGTTGCTATGTAAGCTACAAGAGTCCATAAATTTGCTTTATGAATTTTCCAGGAGCCAAAGTGAGCAGACAGGTGCTGTTCATTGAAGGAGTGATTTTTGTTTGCTCCCTTTGATCCAGGCCCCATTCATGGCATCATATGCACAACAGAACATAACACTACCTAGCCCTGCTCCATCCTCACCAATGGTTGCAGATTAGACCCATAGGATCCATAGGGTTTTCATAGGCTGATTTTCAGAAGTAGATCACTCATCTTTTCTTCTTAGTCTGTTTTAGTCTGGGAACTTTACTGCAACCTGTTCAACATCATAACAACACCCACGTCTCCACTGATGACTGCACATGAGGTGTTTGGGTTGGGAATCACACCTGGGTCTTCTACCTAGAAGGCAAGCTTTCTACCACTGAACAACCCCTGCTCCCACTGAAGGGGAGAACATTCTTAAGTCCTTGAGAAATGCAAAGCTAGTCCAGTTTTAAATTATGAAGGAAATTTCTCACCTGGCTTTATCTTGACGCTAGAGAAAAAACATGAATAGTGTCCTTTACGACATCTTGTTAAAAATATCCTATGACAAATTCAGCAATTGTTGTTATTAGGTGTAATAATGGTCTCTCTAAAATAGTTTCTTTTGATGTTCTTTGATAAAAGCTATGAATATGATACCAAAACATAGCCCAGAAAAAGCCATTCTGGTGAAACTAAGAACACGTGGACCAACATTGTTTGCTGAATCATCAGCTTGGTACAAAGGTAAACCTAGACTATTTAGAGAATTGGCTGGAGTTCTTAGAGTGCTTTAGAAAAATCCTTCATAAATATAATTTCTCTGAACCAGATTTTATATGCGCTGACGACAATTATTGCTCTTCCTCCTTTTAACCCTGCAAGGAAAGCCTGGAGTTTTGTGTTGCTAATTAAAGGCATATCCCTATACAGGGTAGTTTTTGGATTTTAGGCATCACCTGATACATTACTAAAGAATTCCTATAACTAAGGTAGGAGTCATATGATTTCAAATTATGCATGGAAAATTATAGATTAGCACTGTATTTTTATGTCTTGCATTTTTCTTTTTAAAAATTCATATCACTTAAATTTATATGAAATGAGACCTGCAAGGGAACACAGAGTCATGGGCTCTGGTGGTCAGGCTTTGGATCACAGTGGTACTCACACAGATGGCTTCAAAGACATGGAAGATGATGTAAATGGGCAAGAGCTGGTTCACCAGATTAATGACTTCTCTGCAGAAGAAGTGGGAAAGGACACTCAGTTGGAGTACTAAGAAAATACTTTAACTTTAGCTACCCATTAACATCCCTCTTTTTACAACCAGGAGCCCTGGGTAGTGTAAATCGTTAAGATGGTAAAAGCTAACCTAAAGTCTGGAGTTTCCAGTCCACCCACAGGTGCCATGGAAGAAAGGCCCAGCAATCAACATCTGAAAAATCAGCCTTGTAAATTGTACAGATCACACTTCAACTCTGACACGCCAGAAGCTGGAGCTTCTTGATAGCAATTGGTTTTCATTCTTCCCCATATTTTTATAGTGGAAGTCATTTCCCTCATGCAAACATAACTGACACCCCTAGGTTATATCTCTAGGATCCACATAGTAAACTCCAGAAGCCCCTCCCCCACAACATTAGCTACTACTCTTAAATTAGACAAATAGTGGAGGATAGGGCTTGGGTGTGCAAATATTAGGTGACTGCACCATGCAGGGCCCTAAAGATGTTGGCTTTCTCCCAGTTTGAACAAATCTGAATTATTCTTGCTTCCTATAGACCCAATACCCAGTCAGGTGTGGACCCAGGCTCTGAGAACCAGCTGGGAACCACACTGACAGTTTCCAGGAATCTGTTATGAAACTTGATTACCTACTCATCATTGGTAAAAATATGCCCCAGCTTATTTTTCAGGATGCTCAACAGGATGCCCATGACCAAAGAAGTGCCAACTGAAAGAGAAAAGGGAACAGTGTTGATAGAATCAAACCAAAAAGAAGCCCAACTTAGATCAGATGGATCAGTGCAAATCTCCCAAGCCCACTACACTAAGGAGTTTTAATCACAGAAGCTAATGCAGTACGTATTCATTCAGATTAAGACATACACTGTTTGGCAGTTATCCTGGAAGAGTATCATATAAGATGTCTTTACTGCATCTTCAATATCACCTGGTGACTTGGTAGAAATATACATTTTTGGTTAGATGTCGAACTACTAAATCTGAACTCTGCTGAATGAGGCTCTCCCAGAAATTCCAAGGCAGACTGATGCTTGAGAACCACTGCTCTCCACAGATGAGCTTGTCTGAATCTATTAATAACAAAAAGCAGAGCCATGACATTGGGGAACATAGCAGGTTCTAAGCTCATAGGTATACTTGGGAAGTCAGGCTTGCAGAAAATAAAGTCATGGTTTTGTTCACAGCGGAAGCTGAACTGATAGGCTGTCCTCACTACATTTCAAGAGTCTCAGAAGCAGGGTAGGGGTGTGGAGGAGACAAGGCAAGCGGGAGAGACATATATTTGGGTCTGCCTTTTGGGGCCTACCTTCTAGAACTGAGTACTTTGGGAGAGAAACATATGTCATCTTCCCATCAGTGGTGGCTGTTCTAGGTTGGATTGTATGGGCAGCATGTGTGGAAGGTTGGATCTCTGGATCCAATGTGCCAGACTTTCCTTTGTTCAGGCCCTTGACCCACTCATGCAATTTCTTACAAGGAGATCTCCCACCCACCTACACAGAGTACACCTGAGATGGCTGACCGCTTTGCTTGCACAGTGTCTGCAGCTCCAAGAGCTGTCCCAACTCGGACACAGACTGCGATGCTGAGTCCCATTGGAATCTAGACCAGAGATAAGAAAATGCTGTCAGTAGAGCCTGGCCAGAGGGAGAGAGGAGAGCAGGTTGGTATGAGCAGAGGTCATTTCTTGTTGCAGATGGAATGGCAGTGAGGTTTGAGGTGGGGAGGGTTTGTGGGGCTACCCTGTGTGACTTACAGACTCATTCCCTCTCCAACCCCATCCTACTCATTTCATCAGAAACCTCACATGAACGTCAGCCATGAAACTAAAATAAATATGTTGCCAGAAATGCAGGAATCATGTGAATGTGGTCTTGCATATATCAGAAAAGCTCGATAAGGAAGAAAAAGTTGAGTTGAAATAATGTATTAAAAAATAAGAATGATCTGATAAATTAGTTTTGTAAATGCAGGTTTTGACTAATCCTTTGCAAAAATCAGGGATCACTAGCTCAATACTCTCAGGATTCGGGCAGAAGATGCCCATCTGAGAAAGTGCGGGGCAGGGATTGCTGTCTCTCAGCTCTGGCATACTGGGTGTCAAGAACTTGAGCCCATCCCGACATAGATTTTCACTTTTTAAAAAGAAAAGTCAAATACTCAGATTGTTGTGTGATAACTCCAAATTTGTAAGTGATGTTAACGATTTTTATAAATTTTACTGTCATGTGAATTGAAGATGACACTTCTATGTGCCACCTATGCACAAGGATGGGTTTCAACCAAGCAGATCCTGAACCTGAGCATTTAGGAGGTGGAAGGGGATCACTTAACCTGAGGCACCTGATAATCTTCAGGGAGAATTTCAGAGGGGTCCTTCAGGAGACAAATTTGCCCTGTGTTTTAACAGTCTACCCTCTAATGATCAATAAAGGTTGGGATAGAGGCTTTATGAAGACCAGAAGAACTCTCACCATGTATGTCACTGTGGCCACCTCATAGATGACGGCCTGAGCAGAGAGGTCCAGCACGCTGAGCAGGCCTGTTGGTGTGGGGGAGTGAGGAGCAGAAGGCAAATCCATGAGCCAAAGGTGATGAGGGATCCATTGCTCTCGTCAGTCATGTGCTGGCCTACCCTTTGAGGAGGAGCCCAGAGTCTGGGCTGATATATATGTATATATATATATATATATATATATGTTTTGTTATCATATAATCACAGTCTGGGCTTATATATATATATATGTATATATATCAGTTTTGTTATAATATAATCCACATCTGAGTGTCTTAGACTTGCTATCAATTTTAGGTAACTTTGGACAATTTGGCTTACCCTTGGGATTCAATTTTATCATTGGTAAATGGGGCCAGGAGTTAGACTGGCAGGTCTCTAGGGATGGTTTCAGGCTAGGCTTTTTAATTTTTAACTTTCAGGATGTTTCAGATCTGTGCCAAGATAAATAAAAAGCACAAGGTGAGAGCTCCACACTCATCCAGCCCTCATTGCTAGACACCCTCTAGTCATTCCCTCCCTCACTCTTTCCCTGACTCAGTCGGTTTTCACAGAGGCCCACATGCTGCCAAGTCTAGTGCTGGCTTGTGCTTTCTGCCCAGAGATAGAAGATGGAAGACAGTGCACAATCCTGCCTTCAGAGAACTCCCAGCCCGTTGGGGGAAATGAGGTGAATAATAAGCTGATTGAGCACCATCAGCAGAGCTGTTGTGGAACCTGCCTGTGGACTCAGACTGTGAACTATTGATCTAGGGCAAAGGGTTTCTGGCCTGGGAAGGCATCTACATTTGGTGTCCCACCCTGTGCTCTTCCACATACCCATGAGGAGGCTCCCGATCTCGTATGCCCACCACTCGATGCACATCATGAACATGCTGGGGATGGCCAGGGAGAAGAAGGAACCCCAGTCTTGCAGACACTGGCTGGACCAGCCTAGGAACAAAAGCCTGGAAGCTGAGCAGCAGCCAACCACAGACTAGGCACCTGCTACCACGGAGAGCAGAGGTTCAAGCACTTGTCATGTTACACATGGGGACAGCTGACCTGGGAGCTGCTGATGGGGTGGGCAGAGGAGGAGGATATACGAGGCACAGGTCAGAGGCCTCCTGGCCAGAAGCAGAGCAAGATGAGAGGGCAACTGAGGACTAGGAAGGGTAAGGATTATCACTCACCATCCTGCTCCTCAATACTGTGGGGCCTAAGGCAATACCCTATCCTCTCGTCTGAAAACCTAGAGGCTAGTCTCCATCCTGCCTTCCCTGAAATGCTGTTGCAGGATAGTCTGAGGTCAACGATGATGAAGGATTTTCAAAATAGCTAGGGCAGCACAGAGTAAGAGAGGGTTGTAGGTCTGAAGGACTCCATAAGTTTTCCAGGCCCCAGGTCTTGGAGGAGCTCACATTCAACAGTCAGCTCTCAAGAGGCAACAAAATGCAATGCTCAGATCCCAAGACCCGAGAACCCAGCAGGTTCAAGTCCATGTGCCACCATTTAGGACATGTGATATGTTAATTAAAATTATTTAACCTCACTATGTCTCCATTTTCTCAATATAAGATGGGGAGATTTCAAACAAGGCAAGGAATATCAGGCACTCAACATGCTGCTGACACTTAGGATTTCTGCCTGTATGATTCCATTGATCAACAGTATGGGAAGCTCACAGGGCCAGCTTTGTCTGGTGAATCCAGTTTCACTCTGTCCCCAGCAAGGCTTTGCACTATTTGGACAGTGCCTGGAGCAGACCCTGGACCTCCAAGGGTGTGGATGATAGGGGCTGAGTAAGCAGGGAGGAGGGAAATCGAAAGGGAAATGGAGACTGACCAGAGATAAGGACTGGGTCCTCTACCTGGGTAGTGCCCACTCTCTAGTCTAGTGCGAGTGTCCTTCACACATACCTGCCCATGTCTCCAGGTAGAGCTTCTTAAGTACAATGTAGAGAAAGAGGAAAATGGTCTGCATAAACTGGGAGATGGTATTGGCATAAGCAGAGCCCCTAGAAAGGAGGGAAGACAGGCTGTGACAGGCTGCCCGAAGTCAGCCTTTGTCTTCTGGAGCCGATGCTGCCCTTCCTGTGGGATGAGAGTGGTTACCCAGCCCCAGCTAGCATGGGGCAGCAAGTCTCTAGAGTTGACCTTATCTGATAGCCAGTGGGTCTCTGGGCCTGCAGTGCTACACAGACAACAATTACCACCTTCTCTTGGGGACAAGTCTTTAGAGGCCACAACTTGTTAGTATCTCCTGGTGGGCTGATTGCAGAGGATGGTGGAGTGGTCCATTCCCTTTCTTTCTGATGGGGACAGTCTTCCTCGTACCTGATTGGCCCACATTAGAAGTGCTACAGTGCACCTGAGGACCAGCAAACCCCCTCCCCATGGTCTCTCCCACTTAAGGACAGCATAGAAACCTCCTACAAGTCCTTGTCTTGGATGAGGAAATGGTAGTGACTGTCTTCTGCCTGCAATATGAAGCTCAGTGGGCAGCTCTCCCTGACCGGGTCCTTCAGGTCACAATGCCCTGTGCCCATGTTAGGAGGTACTTACTTGACCCCCAAGTTCATCACAGAAACCAGGGCATAGTTGGCCAAGACATTTATACAGTTCCCCACAATGCCACTGAGGACTTCAGGCCAGATGATCCCCTGAAAAAAAATGAAGTTTGGCCACTGGGATGAGGCCACATGTAACCTCTGTTCGTTAAATGGAAAAGGCTTCCTTGCTAAGGTGTGGGTAGGACTGGGGGAATGTGAACCAGGCCAGGCATGTCAATTTTGTAGCAAGCTGAGGAGGACATGCTGCTTCTTGCTGGTCAGGACATGCGATGGTAGACTAGAAGTGACGAGAGCCTTTCTCCTCTGATAGGTTGCATGTGGGAAGTGAGTAGGCATACAGGTGTTCATCCTGTCCCACTTATTTGGAAGTGGGTTGCGAACCAAGGAGTGTGCTGTGAGGGGTGGAGCGTCTCCTCCAGTCAGAGACCTGTACCTGATTTTGCAAATATTTTGCCAGCAGGCAGTAGAGAAAAATTGCCTGTATAAAAAAGAAAGAACAATCAAATCAACAAATAACAACAAACCCAGACTAACATTAACAGACATTTCTTTCCTGGATAGATACCCAAATTTGGTACCCTAGGGTAGGACCAGAGATCAGGTGCTGGGACCTGTTTGTATGTGAAGGCTCCTTGGGTCTCCAGTTCTGCTTTGTCAATGAGGTAATAGCAGGCAAAGTATGTGGTTCTAAGAGACAAAATTTGGAGTCTGAGAACATTTGGTCAGCCACAGACAACAGGGCTGTTTTGGGTTGCTAAGTGGGGATTCTCACAGGGAGTTGACACTCCTCTCAGCTCGGGAAGCTGATGAGGAGGGGAGAAAACAAGATGGGGCTTACTCAGAGAAGAGCCACTGGAGCCTGAATCCACAGGCTGTGCGGGAGATATGCTGCCTCTTGTAGTCAGACGTGGGGCAGCAGACTAAAATTGATCTGCAATAAAGACCTGGAGGTCTAATTCCAAAAATCCATCCACTGAAAGCCTCACAGAATATAATTCTACACAGACATGTGGGATCACGATGATTCGGAGTCTACTCAACAGCAAGTGGAAATGTGTATGTGTGTGTTAACATATGCATACACACGCCACCTAAACTTGATATTGGGAAGTACTTCAAGTGTATTCCAGGAGGTTCATGTGTTAGGCAAACATTATGCAAGTATTATTAGTCATTGTAATTGTTTTTACTGGCAATTAAAAATGTCAATTTCATTTTATGGCAGAGACTTGTTTTGATTAAGGAAGACAGATAATGTTATCTTTATAGGACAACTTCCCTGATCCAATTCCAGTGACTCTGTTTGACAGGATACCACTCTCCTGGCCTGAAGAACCAAAGTATGGCTTATAGGGAAAGCATTCTCTTCCGGTGGTCTCCATAAGATACTGAAGGCATTAATAGCTGACTGGGCCCCACAGATGACCGAATCTTGGCCTTTCAGACAGATAGATGTGGTTGGGGTATACCCAGCCAGCCAAGGCCTGCTCACGTTTCGGTTCACCTGACCCATTTCCTCCTCAAGAACTTTGCTTCTGGTGTGAAGGAAGCTACAACTCAAAAAACACTCACTGCCACCAAGTTGATTCTGACTCAGAACAACCCTATAAGACTGGGCGGAACTGATCCTGTGAGTTTCTGAGATCATCACACTTTATGGGAAGAAAAAGCCTCATCTTGTTCCCATGGAGAAGCTGGTGGTTTTGAACTGCTGACCTTATGGTTAGCAGGTCAGCTACTGAACACTAAACATTACCCAGGCCCCTAAGGAAGCTAAAGGGCTGCTGCTATTGCAGAGATAGGAAGATGAGTATGAATTATCTGTCATCAGTACTGCCATATATTAACCTGTATCATTATATTACAGACAATCAAACAGTATAATTTTAGGTTCCATAAGAGTCTTATGAATGACTTTCAGACTAGAAAACCCAGGAATGAACCCAAATATACGCATTGTTTATGAATTTATAATTTAACAAATTAATGTAGAAAAAGAGAATATTCGACCCTGAGCATAAGGAAAAAAATTAAGTTTATAAATTGAAAGTATCAAAAGTGTATCAAAGTAGCCTTAGATTTAAAAACAGAAACAATAAGAGTCTTTTTTAATAGACAAATACCTATATACTCTCTCTTGCAATAATTTTTCAAAACTCATCAAGGACAGACATCAAAAAAGCATAAACAAAATGACTTAATGACTCAATTACTTACGAAATAAATGTTTTTAAATTAAAAATACTTTAAAATTTTACAGTAAATTGACAAACTGAAAACTACTTGTAGCATATCGGACAATGGGCTAAAAAAGTACTTAATGAGAATTAAATATTTAGAGAAAGACTAATCCAAAGGAAGCAAAGGAAATGGACCACAGAAATAGTTCATGGAAAACATTCAATTTCATTATACTATAAGAAACACACTGGATGAATGTATGGATTGTGATAAGAGATGTAAGAGCCCCCAGTAAAAGTATTTGATGAAAAATAACGAAATACACATTAAATTAATTTCTTTCAAACTGGTTTTTTAAAAAGGAAAATACCCCATGCTGCTGTTGGGAAAGGGAGGCCTTCACACATTCCTGATACGTAAAACTTGGTGCACTTGTATAAAAAGTCATTGATCAAATACTTCCAATACTATGTCTTAAGGAAATCATTAGGAATGCCCACCAAGGTTTTTCAACAATATTTATCACAATCTCGCTTATAATAGTGATACTGAAAACAACTCAAATAATTTTGGCATAACTACATGACACCTGACACAACAATATATAAGGCAATGTTAGGTAGACTTTCAAACTGATATAGGAACCCTGGTGGCTGTCGTGGTTCTGCAGGTGAGCTGTGATCCACAAGATCAACAGTTAGAACCGCCCCGCTGGAGAAAGATGGGCTTTCTACTACCATAAAGAGTCACAGTCTCGGAAACTCACAGGGGCAGTTCTACGCTGTCCTCTGGGGTCGCTATGAGTTGGCACCGACAAGATGACAATGAGTTTGTTTTTGTTTGAAAATTGACATTGTTGAAGGCCATTTAATCATATCACATGATTAATGGCATATCGTATCTGGAAATAAGCGTCTCAGAATACAATAGTGATTACATATCAAACTGGGTGTGTATAGGAATGTGTTTAAATACACACCGATGACTAGAAGCAATCCTGGGAAAAATAAATGTTCTCTCTGAATGGTAGGATTACTTTTTGAAACCTACTGCCTTTAAACCAATTCTGACTTGTTGACTCATGTGTTACGGAGTACTTCTGCTTTATAGGGGTTCTTGGAAAATCTTAATGGAAGTAGCCAGTCATTTCTCCTCTCGAGCTGCTGGATAGGTTTGAACCACCAGCCTTTCAGCAACCAGCAAAGAACAAACCTCTTGCAGCATCTGTGGATCTTAATACAATTATAGGTGACTTGAAAATTTTCATCCCCATGCTTTCCAAATTTTCCCCAGTGGAAAAAAAACAAAAAACAAACAAACTCCCTGCCCTTGAATCCATGCCAACTCATAGCAACCTTATAGGACCAGGTAAAACTGCCCTGGTGCGTGTGCAAGACTATAATTGTTTATGGGAGTAGAAAGCCCTGGTTTTCTCCCGCAGAGGGGCTGATGGTTTTGAACTGGCAGCCTTGTGGATGGCAGCCCAATGCAACCACTATGCCACCTGGAGTCCAGTAAACAGCTTTCTAATCAGAAGAAAGGGCTGTGTCAATTTTTAAATCCAATTTGTGGCAACTGGATTCATTAATTGGAATCCATTGCCCTACCACGTCAACTTTTCTCAGGGGCCCACAGAAGTGCCATTGGTCTGAGAGAGGACTCCAGAGCAGAAAGATGGAAAAGCAGAAAGGCAAAATTCTGATCAGGATCATCCCTGCCTCTTCTCGCAGGAGAAGAAAAAGTCCAGCGATGGAGCCACTTACAGGAAGTGCTGGGATAAAAATCGTCACGTAGTCCTGCGTTAATCTGCAAAAGAAGATGCATGGAAAAGACAGATTTTCTTCAGCTCTGACTTGTGTGACTGGGGGACTGGCTGCTGCCCAAGGGACTCCCTGGGCACCCAGTTTGAGAAGAGGACTTACAAACATGGCCTTACAAACATGGCCAAAGCAGTTAGAGGCTGCTGCTTGCTACCAGATGCTAGAAAGTGCTAGGAGCTGGTGCCCAGTGCACCTGGGCTCATGAGTAGAGAATTTGATATATCATAACATGTAGCTTGTAAGGAGCATAAAAATGTGATATTTTATCACGAACTAGCCAAGAGAAGTGTATGTGATATGAAATGAGCATGGCATCACAGTGAGAGGGTGTTTCTGTATTCAATAATAGACTATCCTCAGAAATGGCTCAGATCTCTTCCACCTTGGGAATATGAGGTATCGGGCACACTTCATTTCTTCAGAAAGCATGGATTTGGTATGTTCCATAACACAATTACAAATCACAAGACATTTGTCTACTTCGGTAACTCTTTTGTCCCCTGTTGGTCACCAATGGAGCAGCATTCTATAGCATCAGATACTGCACTTGGAAAGACTTTTGGCTGAGAGAGGCAAGGACCTATAAAGTGAGCTACCCCTAGATTTCCGGCCCCAGATTTTCCAGAGTTCAAGGCGGGAACATACCTGGACACTGCTGGGTCCTGCCTGAGGAGCAGCAAGAGCTGTTGGGTATTGAGGAAAAGTGCCCAGCAGGGAAGGCAAGAAAGCAGCAAGATGATCGTGCCCCTCTGCAAGATGACGCCCACGTGCTTCTTGTTCGGGCTGCCGAAGCTCTGCAAAACAGAGCTGGTCAGGCCAGGCCAGCGCTGCTCACCCCCACCTCCTGCGCCCACCCTGGTGCACCCCTTCTGGGGGTGTTTAGTGAAAATCCTAGCTGTGCCCACCAGACACAAGTGTACTGGTGCATGCCAGTGGGAGAGCAACAGTGGGTGTGTGTCCATTCAGTGCACTACGTGGTGATAGTGGTGGACCTGTTGACTTCAACTACAGGCAGCCCTGTGTGTGCAGTCAAAAGTATTTCAGAGGGCTTTGAAGGCTGACAACTTTCACGAGCAGTGGGAAAGGCCTGGCACCATAACTTGGGCAGCTACCAGCAACAATATCTCTGTGCCCTTCGACTGTCCACCACATTGTCTCCACTGTTCTTCGAAAGTGTGTAATGAGGATGATAATATTCATTCCACATTGCAATTAAGGTCAGTGAAGCTCAGAGAACAGTTAGTAAGCCAGGACAGAAGCCACCGGGTCCCTACAATGCTGCACTGGGTACCCAGAGCCTTTAAAGAACTGAGCCCTGCCTGCTTTGTGGCCCACTGCAGGGTAAGTACCCCATGCTCAGACAGGAGCAAGCAGGAAGGTCCCATCCTGTGTCTTCCTGTCTGACACAATGCCACATGTAGGCAGTTAAATGGCACAGAGGTGGAGAGGGCGTGGGGTATAATGATGAATGAGAAAGTGAATCAACCATGCTGGTCCCCTTCCCTTTTTTTTTTCTTTTCTCGATGATTTCCACTGAGACAACAGGCCAGGTAACGGTTACTATGCCTTTCTTCTCCACAACTCCTCTTCCCAGCCAACTGGTCTTGCAGAGGGTCAAGCCAACCCTTGATCACTGCCTGGATGGAGATGGGGCAGCTGACCCCAGGGTCCATCTGCAATACTAAGACTCAAGGTACAGAAGGGGAAAGAGAGGCTTTCGGGGGGCCCTCCTCCCACTGTTCCTGCAGTATTTGTAGGCACTGCTCTTGCCTTACCTAACTATCTGCCTGTCTCTGGGATGTTCTCCTACCTGCGACATTAAGGTGTCACACGCTGACGCCAAGCCAAATCCCACAGACACGCCGCAGACATTGACAAACTGGAGCCATTCACGGGAGGAAAAAGAAGGGTTTGTCAGGTTCGTACTTAAGAAAAGACTCATCATCTGGGGTGACATCGGGTTGAATGGACATTGGGGAAATTATCACAGGAAGTGTAGTGGTTACGTGTTGGGCTGTGATACACAAGGTCGGCGGTTTGAAACTACCAGCTGCTCCTTGGGAGAAAGGGCTTTCTCCTCTCATAAACAGTTACAGTTTTGGAAACCTGCAGGGGACTGGCTGAGTTGGCATTAACTTGAGTCACAGGAGGATAGATGGTGTCTGAGGAACATCTGAATGCAACTGAGCCTGGCACCTTCCCTCTGACTGTTCTTTTTTGTTTGTTTGTTTGTTTGTTTGTTTTTAGAGAGTGAGCGAGTGAGTGAGTGAGAGTAAGAGAGTGAGTTAAGAGAGTAAGTGAGTGAGAAAGAGAGTGAGTGAGAGTGAGAGAGTGAGTGAGTGAGAGAAAGAGTGTGAATGAGTAAGAGAGTAAGAGTGAATGAGTGAGTGAGTAAGAGAGTGAATGAGTGAGTGAGAGAGTAAGTCAGTCAGTGAGTCAGTAAATGAGAGTGAGTGAGAGTGTGAGAGAGTGAGTAAGAGAGTAAGAGTGAGTGAGTTAGAGAGTGAGTGAGTGAGAGTGTGTAAGAGAGTGAGTGTGTGAGAGAGTGAGTAAGAGAGTGAGAGAGTGAGTGAGTGAGAGTGTGTGAGAGAGTGAGTAAGAGAGTGAGAGAGTGAGTGAGTGAGTGAGAGTGAGTGAGTGAGTGAGTGAGAGAGTGAGAGTCTCCTCTGACTGTTCTAATGTGCTATGCCTTCTTAGACAAAACTCTCCCTACTTCTGGACTGCATCTGTCTGAGCCACACTACTTGACTCACTCCGTGGCTCAACAGCAGGCCCTCTTTGGGGCTGGCAGATACTCACGGCCACTGCCAGGGTCACAGACGCCAACTCCAACTTGCCCAGGTGCCCGCAGAACACCGTGCTCACCACATAGATCAGGAAGGACAGCATCTGGAACAGGAACTAGGGGCAGCCGAGGGATCAATCAAGCCAGTTGGCCCCACATGTAAGCTAAGGTGACCAGACATCCGCTTTTGGCGGGACAGTCCCAATTTTTAACAATTTTTCCCGCGTCCCGCAGCATTTTAAAAAACTCCTGATTTTTGGAAAGAATGCACGACAAGTTAGAGTATACAGTATTCGGCTGCCATGTGGCTATTTCGCCAGGATATGAGTTTTATCAATGGTGTCCCGCTTTTGTCCCGCTTTAAAAATGTTAAAATCTGGTCACCTTAATGTAAGCCCCTGCATGTAACATTTCTGCTGCTCAAGGGAGACCCCCAAACCTCATCCTGCTCAGTCCTGCTTCTTGGCCCAGCAAAGACCCCATTACACTCAGCTCTCATAGCCCAGTCCCTTCCTCAAGGTTAGTGGGCAAGAATCTTCTCTGTGCTTCCAAGTTTTTCCCAAGGGTTATCACTGCAGGGTTCTTTCACAAACATTACCACTCGCTGGGCAAACATTCCTCTACCCAGAGTCAGACCTGGAAATCAAGCAGTGCGGCTCAGGCTTGCAAGGAGCAAGGGCTGAAGCCAGGAGACCTCTACCCTGCTCTCATCCCACTTCCAGCAGCAGTCTGATCTTAATTTATCCTTATACCCCTGGGCTTCCGCTTCCTCCTTTCAAACCATGACAACCCATGGGAAGCACTTTGCACAGTACTCAGCACACATTTTGCTATGAGCATTTTTGCACTACTAGTGCTATCATGAATATAACAAAGTGGAGAATTGGATTGGATTGGATTGGATTAATAAAGAGTGCCACAAAATACATCAGAATCAGCAATATAATTTATAGATGATTATAGTAGAGATGGATTTCTTTCTTCTAACTTTGGATGTTGTCTAAAATTTTTACAGAAAACATATATTTATTACCCTTATGATCAAAAATATACATATAAGACAATTTTCACTTGAAAACAGGATGGACAAAGGCTCTTTCTCCCCTGATGGAGAGATCTACATGTTTAGGGCATCAGTGAATCCCAGTCACCCTCTTGGAATATTTTGCACGAGACTTTTCATGGATTTCTAGCTCCTTCTGAGCAGGGCTCAGGACATCTGCCACTCTGCCACCCAGGCACTGTCCTTGGCCTATAGGGGCCATATTTCTATCACCAGCTCAAGGATGGGGGCGTGGTCAGACACCAGCATCGACAGTCTCTAGGGACAGTTGTGAGCAGTCCCTGGCACATTCCTGTGTCTTGCCTGGGCAGCAGCTGCCCTCCTGCTCAATAGCCCTGCTGCTTCTCCAACCCCACCTCCTTACCAAGGGTCCGGAAAGGACAAAGAGCGACCTTGCCTCAGCCACAAAACCCACAGGGAACAGCACGCAGAAGGAGGGGCACCAGTGCCTGTGGGCTGAGGGCCCTGTCTCCTGGAGGTTGTTCATCTCAAGCTGGATTTGACCACTCTGTGGGCTGGAACTCTCTCCCAGTCAGTTTTGTGCAGTTAACCAAGGCTTCTCTGACCACCAACCCATGTCACTTGCAGCCTGGTTAATGAGTAAAGGGTGGAAGGAGGTGGAGAGGCAGAAAGGCGGGGAAGGAAAGGGGAGGTCACAGGGGGTAGCCATGATAGCTGATGGGACTTACCCTGCCTCTTGGGAGCACATTGTGACCCCAACCACAGAGCGAGATGACCTTGAGGGGGCACAAGATAGAGTCACCTAGACAAGTATGTACTGTGACTCTATCTGCTCACCCATAGCTGGCAGTCCTTGGAAGAGGAGTTGGACTTTGTTTCCTGCACATGACATTTCTAATTTTTTAAAATCATTTTATTGGGGCTCATGTAATTCATCACAATACATAGATCAATTGTGTAGAGCACACCTATACATTTGTTGCGCTCATCATTCCCAAAATTTGCTTTCTTCTTGGGTTCCCGGAATCAGCTCATTTTCCTCTTTTCCCCTCCCCTCCCCCATGAACCCTAATAATTTATAAATTATTATTATATTTTATCTTACACTGCCCGGCGTCTCCCTTCACCCACCCCTCTGCTGCCCATCCCCCAGAGAGGAGGTTATATGTAGATCACTGTTATCAATTCCCCCTTTCTACCCCACCCTTCCCTCCTGGTATCACCACTGTCACCCCTGGTCCTTAGGGGTTCATCTGTCCTTGATTCCCTGCGTTTCCAGTTCCCATCTGTACCACTGTGCATCCTCTGGTCTAACCAGGTTTGCGAGGCAGAATTGGGGTCATGCTGGGGGAGGAAGCATCTAAGAACTATAGGAAGGTTGTGGGTTTCATTATTGTATACTGAACCCTAAGTGACTCATCTCCTCCCCACCACTCCTCTGCAGGGTATGTCTAGTTGTCTACAGATGGGCATTGGATCCCCATCATGTGCCACCCTCATTGACGAGGATATGATTCCCCTCCCCGCCCCCACCTTTGGTGTTTGAAGCCTGGTCCCTTCGGCCCTTCATGATCACACATGTTGGTGTGCTGCTTCCATGTGGGCTTTGTTGCTTCT